GCAACCAAAGGGCAGACGGCTCACAGGTCGGAGATGGATTGACGAAATAAACCAGTCTTGAATCGATTCGAATGGAAGGATGTGGTAGAGATGACTAGGGCCCCCACATGAGCTGTACCACGCTGATGGTGATGTCTGAATGTAAGGATGTGGTGGAGATGACCAGGGGTACCACATCGGCTGTAGCACCACTGATGGTTATGACTATATAAAGTCAAGTCTCCATAGAGTCAAGTTGATATGAAGTAAAGTCTACATTGAAACAAGTCTATATGGAGTCAAGTCTATATGGAGTCAAGTCTTTATGGAGTCAAGTCTATATGGAGTCAAGTCTATATGGAGTCAAGGACATATGAAGTCAAGTCTATATGGAGTCAAGGACATATGGAATCAAGTCTAAGTGGAGTCAAGTCTATTTGGAGTCAAGTCTATATCGAGCCAAGTATACATGGAGTCTAGCCTAAATAGGGTCAACTCTAAATGGGTTTAAGTCTATGTGGTGTCAACTCAACATTAAGTCAAGCCTAGGCCGCCCCCCCCCCCCCCCCTTTTTTTTTTTTTGCTCTTTCCTTCCCTCCCCAATTAACCCTTTAAATTTTCCCCCCATATCATTTGAAAAGTTTGTTTTTGTTTCCACACTGCTTATTTCCATAGGAGCTAATGTAGTGGCTCTATACTTATTGCCAAAAGGAGCTAACGTAGTGGCACTTTGCTTGTTGCCCATAGGAGCTAATGTAGTGGCATTATGCTTATTGCGAATAGGAGCTAATGTAGTGGCGCTTTGCTTGTTGCCCATAAGAGCTAATGTAGTGGCACTATGCTTGTTCACCATATAAGCTAATGTATTGGCACTATGCTTGTTGACCATAGGAGCTAATGTAATGGCACTATGTTTATTGCCCATATGAGCTAATGTAGTGGCACTATGTTTGTTTCTCATAAGAGCTAATGTAGTGGCACTATGATTGTTTCTCATAAGAGCTAATGTAGTTGCACTATGCTTGTTGACCATTGGAGCTAATGTAGTGGCACTATGCTTGTTGACCATAGGAGCTAATGTAGTGGCACTATGCTTGTTTACCATAGGAGCTAATGTAGTGGCACTATGCTTGTTCACCATAGGAGCTAATGTAGTGGCACTATGCGTGTTCACCATAGGAGCTAATGTAGTGGCACTATGCTTGTTCACCATAGGAGCTAATGTAGTGGCACTATGCTTGTTCACCATAGGAGCTAATGTAGTGGCACTATGCTTGTTCACCATAGGAGCTAATGTAGTGGCACTATGCTTGTTGACCATTGGAGCTAATGTAGTGGCACTATGCTTGTTGACCATAGGAGCTAATGTAGTGGCACTATGCTTGTTGACCATAGACATAGGAGCTAATGTAGTGGCACTATGCTTGTTGACCATAGTAGCTAATGTAGTGGTGCTATGCTTGTTCACCATAGGAGCTAATGTAGTGGCACTATGCTTGTTCACCATAGGAGCTAATGTAGTGGCACTATGCTTGTTTACCATAGGAGCTAATGTAGTGGCACTATGCTTGTTCACCATAGGAGCTAATGTAGTGGCACTATGCGTGTTCACCATAGGAGCTAATGTAGTGGCACTATGCTTGTTTACCATAGGAGCTAATGTAGTGGCACTATGCTTGTTCACCATAGGAGCTAATGTAGTGGCACTATGCGTGTTCACCATAGGAGCTAATGTAGTGGCACTATGCTTGTTCACCATAGGAGCTAATGTAGTGGCACTATGCTTGTTCACCATAGGAGCTAATGTAGTGGCACTATGCTTGTTCACCATAGGAGCTAATGTAGTGGCACTATGCTTGTTCAACATAGGAGCTAATGTAGTGGCACTATGCTTGTTCACCATAGGAGCTCATGTAGTGGCACTATGCTTGTTGACCATAGGAGCTCATGTAGTGGCACTATGCTTGTTCACCATAGGAGCTCATGTAGTGGCACTATGCTTGTTCACCATAGGAGCTCATGTAGTGGCACTATGCTTGTTGACCATAGGAGCTCATGTAGTGGCACTATGCTTGTTGACCATAGGAGCTCATGTAGTGGCACTATGCTTGTTGACCATAGGAGCTCATGTAGTGGCACTATGCTTGTTTACCATAGGAGCTCATGTAGTTGTTCAATCTCAGCTACCCTTAAAAAGTTCAGAAGGTATTTTTAGTTTCTCAAGGATTTTTTTCAAGCACATGTTATGACTTTTTCAGAAATGACGTAATCCTTTGATATTGATAATATAATAGCCAACATGAAACATATTTCATCTCCTGGTGTTGTTTCATGTGAAATGTTAAAACTTCGATCTAAACTGATGTTATACAAATACATTCTAAATTTGAACAAATGCCAAATACGTACGTATAAAAACAATGAAAATATTTTAAGAAGATGCATGAACACGACCTCAGTCAAAGGGGAGTGACCCATGTTTTAGAATGTCATACCACATTTTCCCTCATTCTTCCCATGATACTGTATCATTTTGGTAATGACTTTCCAGAGTTAATTTTTCATAACATTATGTTATGCTCAGTGAATGAGAAACTGGCTGTACAGTTTAACAGCTCTACTAGTATCTGGCTGTTCATTGGGAACAGCCCTACTTGAAGCTAGCTGTAAACGGAACAGTACTACTTGCAGCTGGCTATTCACAGAAAAGCCCATTGTAGATGCTGGATTTACAGTTGAACAGCTCTATTAGTAGCGTGTCGTCCATTTTGAATAGTGCTACTTGAAGCTAAATGTTTATAGAAAATCGTTTGCAGATGCTGAATGTACTTCTAAAAGTGCTGGTAGCCACACATTTCCTTCATAAATGATGGCTGGTGTACAAAATATGTCATGATGGCTTCGTCTAAAAGCCAAAGTTACCCCTGATGAAACTTGGTTTTAAAGAAACTAATGGCACCGATACTACATTACACATTTGCATCATATTTGTTATTGCACGATCCTAGAGACTTTCATCAGTAAAACGATTTTAAAAAAATATTCTACCCCCAGGGACTGATATATTGATGAACTTAGATGCAAAGTCTTGAAGCACAAAAATCATGAACGGATGAGTAATGAATTTTTTGCATTGAAAACAACTTCTTCCTGAATTTATAATTTCTGGGTACAAACTGTTACATTGCATAATCCTTGATATATACTAAATCGTAAAAGTTAAACAAACACAAGATACCGCAGTTCGTCAATATAAATGAATAGTTATATGTCTAACTGCCATTCATATAATTACTTGCCGTATGCCCTAGTGATGCTGGTAATGCAGCAATCATAAAAAAAAAAAACAAAAAACAAAAACAAAACCCCCCCCCCACCAAAAAAAAAAAAAAAAAA